TGGTGTCGGGAGGTCGGAGAACGCCCGACACTTGTCGGGGTTGGCTTCAATCCCTCGTTCTGTTAGATAGAATCCGAGGAATTTTCATGCCTTGACCCCGAACGTGCACTTCTCGGGGTTGAACCTCATTTTGCATTGTCTTGCTTGGGCGAAGACAGTCTTGAGATGAGCTGCGTGATCGGTGTCTGCTCGAGATTTGACGATCATGTCGTCCATATATACCTCGAGCATGTCGCCGATCTGTTTGTTGAACACTTTGTTCATCATGCGTTGGTAAGTCGCACCGGCGTTCTTCAGTCCGAAGGGCATTACGTTGTAGTAATAGTTGCCCGAGCTGGTCATGAACGCCGTGCAGCGTTTATCGCCCAGGGCCATTGGGATTTGATTGTATCCCGAGTAGGCGTCCATGAACGACAAAGTCTTGTAGCCGGCCGAATTGTCGACCAGCATGTCGATGTTAGGTAGAGGAAAAGCATCCTTCGGGCAAGCCCGGTTGAGGTCGGTATAGTCAACACACATTCTCCATTTTCCATTATTCTTTTTGACAAGTACAACATTTGACAGCCAGGTGGAATACCGGGCTTCAGAAATAAAATTTGCCTCTAAGAGGTCTTTTACAGCTTTTTCAGCAGCCTCCGTTTTTTCTGGAGACTGCCTACGCCTACGTTGTACTACGGCCTTGGCGGCTGGATCAATGGTGAGGTGATGACAGGCGACCTCAGGGTCGAGTCTGGGCATCTCTGCAGCGCTCCAGGCGAAGAGATCAGCATTCTCGCGCAGACAGGCCTTGATTTGCTTCCTGGCCAAGTCGGGGAGGTCCTTGCCAATCTTCACTCCCTTGGTCGGGTCTGCTCCGAGGGGAACGAGTTCGAAATCGCCGTCCGGAATAGGTCGGAGGGGGATTTGCTCGCTGCTGGCTGGCTCGTCTTGGTCGAAGCGGGCGTCGAGGGCTATGGAGTCGACCTTTGGTGGAGCCTTCTGAACTTCTACCTCGGGAGATGCTCTGTCGGGCTCTTGCTTTGTCTTCTTGATGGGCCTTGTGCTGGTACCCACGTCGACAGTATCCCGTCCCCTTGAAGCGGCGTTGAAGCACCTGCGGGCAGCAGCGAGGTCGCCCTGGATGGTGGCTACCCTTGCCCTCTTGGTATAGAACTTCATTTTTAGATGGACAGTTGAGGGAACCGCTGTCAGCTCCGCCAATGTCGGCCTCCCCAAGATGCAATTGTATAGGGACGGGCAGTCAATGACGAGGAAGCGGACCTTCACCTGTCTTGTAGCAGTTCCTTCCCCGAACGTCACGAGGAGCTCGACATATCCCCAAGGTTTGGAAGTCGAGCCGTTGAAGCCTTGAAGGTCCGAACCTATATACGGAGACAGATGTGAGTCGTCCAGTTGTAAGGTCCGGAACAGCTGGGTGTACATCACGTCGACGGAACTCCCTTCGTCGACCAGGATGCGATGCACGTCAAAATTGGCCATCTTTGCCCTTATCAGCAAGGGGATGACTGCGTTCGGTGCTCCGCCGGGGAGCTCTTCCAAGTAGAAGGTGATGGGCTCTGATCTGCCCTTCACCATTTCGAAAGTCACAGTTTGTGGAGGAGCTGCGTCGACCAGTTCGTCCAACTTCCTCTTGGCTGAGTTGATGGTGAGGTCGTTGAACCCGCCCCCGTTGATGACCATGGCGGAGGGGAAGTATTCCCACCTGCTGTGTGTCGTCAGGGGCTCCTGCAGGAGCTCGGGAAGTTCGAAATCCTCGGGCCTGGTTACCGAGAAGGCGGTCTGGATTGGCACCGACTCGTCAGATGGTCGGGCATCTTCTTCGGGCTCCTTTGCCTCGCGGGCGTCCCGACGGGGAGCGTCGTTTCGCCTGTACTGTGCAAGCCTCCCTCCTTTGATGAGGGTTTCGATGGCGTCCTTCAGGTGGACGCAGTCCTCTGTCAAGTGACCATGACTCCTATGGTACTGACAGTACTTGTTTTTGTCTACTCCTGGCTTGGCAGGAGCTGGTCGGGGACGCTTGACGCCACCGTCTTTAAAATCTGTGCTAGCACACTCCGCCAAAATACGCTCGCGGGAAGCCGTGAGCGGAGTGTACTCAGTGAACCGGCCCGAGGGGCCCCTTTGTTCCCGGACCTCCCGGGGCCGATCTTCCTTCCTCTTCTCTCCGGTCCGTCGGGGAGGAGGGTCTTGTCTCGAGCTGCTGCCATGATTGCGAGCCCTGGAGTCTCGTGCCCTGTTGGCAGCTTCTCTCTCCTCGTAGTCCATGTATGCTCGGGCTTTGTCGAGGAGAGCATCAAAAGTTGCAGGTGTTTCAATACCCACAGCTTTTCTGAATTCTGTGCCGGGGAGGAGGCCCCTCTCCAGCAAGTACCTCTTCATATGGTCCGCGCAGGGGACCTGGATTGCTTCCCGGTTGAAGCGGTTAATGAATTCCCTCAGAGTCTCATCCTGTCTTTGAATGATGGCCTCGAGGGCTGCCTCAGTCTTCGGGTGGCGACGGGAAGCTGTGAAGGAACTGATGAACTGGTTCTTCAGGTTCCGCCACGAGGTTATGGAGCCCGGGGCGAGTCCTTTGTACCAGTCCATGGCCGCCTTCCTGAGAGTTGTTGGGAAGAGACGACACTTGATGGGCCCCCCGACGTTGTGATAGTGGAGCATGGCTTCGAACCCGTCAATGTGGTCGACTGGGTCCGCCACTCCATCATACTCCTTCAGGTGTGGGGGCTTTTCCATGCCCGGGGGAATAGGTGCGTCCATGATGGCCTGCGACAGGGGACCGCGGGGGTCGTCCTCGTTGCTCCTTTCTGGAGAAAGAGAAGGGGTCTTGTAGTTATGCCGGGCACGATGGTCGTGCTGAGATTCCCTCGAGCGTGATGCTCGGTGGTTGAAGGTCACACGCCCGTCTCTGTTGTGTCTCCTGTCGTGCCTTGATGGGTCGCGACTGGGCTCTTCGGTAGGGATGACGGGCTGTCTTTCATATTGGGGCCGCCTCTGCCTTGGTGGGGGAGAGGGGCTCCTAGAGTTCTCCCTGTAATGTCTCCGTGGGGGAGTAGGGTGTCGAACTTCTTCGACCCGAGGAGGTGGAGATGGTGGCCTCTGATGCCTCCTCGGGGGTCGTCGATCGTTTTCAAGTGCCCTTAGTCTTTCTCCTTGGGCGAATAGGAGATAATTTGTCTGGTTGATGGCCGCGAACAGTGCCTGAGTCGTGGCATCTGCCCCGGCAGGGACTTGGACTTCATAGAACCGGGCAGCTTGGCGATAGGCGAGAGCCTCCGGGTCGTCTTCGAGTGCTGGAGGGGTCGTCGAGGAAGACGCAGTGTTCCCGTCCCTGCGGGTGGAAGGTCCAGGGGCGGTTGTCGCAGGGGTGGCATTGCGGCCGGGATCACCGAGATTGTCGAGGTGTCCATTCTTGTCCGCGGGACCGTTGTTGGTGTCGGTGACGCGGGTGTGCTGTTCTTCACGAGCTGGATCATCCATGACAGGTAATTGAATTGAGCTTTGGTCTTTGGAATTGTTCGTTAGACGGGGAAGCTGTTTCCCACAGACGACGCCACTGATCTGACCTGATCAGAAGGTTTGGACCGTCACGGCTTGCTCCGAGCTGAAAGCTTTTTGAACGAGGAGGGGGGGGGTACCTGCAAGGCACTCCGATGCTAAAGTCAGTGGGAGTACGAGCAGATAATAGAGTTGAGGTTAGAATGATCAATACCTGACCCTCTGGAAACAGAGGGTATTTATAGCCCCCAGCGCTGGGCCAAAGTTCCTTCATTGGGCCGGGCGGATTTGGCCCAATGGAGGAACTGCCAGGTTCTACGTGGGTAGTGGGGACCAGCACGTGGTCCCCTTCCTGGATGTGCTGCGTGAAGTGCGGGCGGACGGAGACGCGGTCTTTCCGGAGTATCGTTGGGGCAACGGTGGACTGAGTCTACCCTAGCCGTGTAGCTCGAGACCCTGTCGAGCTGCGCAGCACGGTGCCGAGCTCGACGCCAAGACCTCGAGCTGGACAGCGAGTGTCGAGCTCGACTCCAGGACATAGAGCCGGACGGCAGGGTGTCGAGCATGACTTCACCGCGTGGGGCTGGACATCGAGATGTCGAGGTGGACATCAGGGTGTCGGGCATGGATGCGACCCCCTTTGCCCAGTGTGGTCCTTAGTGAGTCCCTTTGGACTGGGCCTTAGTAATGCTTTTGGGCCTGTCGGGCCCAGTCCAAAACAAGTTGTAACAACCACGATATACTTATCCTTGAGTAGATTAAAGAAGGATTGAATTGGCTCATCTTCAGTTGTACATGTATTAGCTCAATCTTATTTCGTTCGAGGAATCATTTGTCTGTCGATTTTGACAAAAACTTTCATTGTCTTTAGGTATAAAACAAAAATACTTATTTGTCTAAAACTAATTGTCACATTAAAATACCAAATAAATATTAATTTTTTTCTAAGAATATACCATTGTTTGGTATATCTCAATTTATCTAATTACTCTATTAAATACAATTATTAAAAGTGTTCTAATCACAACACACTATACTATCATTAATATCACTCAACTAATTATTTTATAAGAACCTCACACAAATTTAACAAAATAATCTTTAATGAGATAAAAAGTCTGATTTATTCAATTCAAAACTATAAGTAACAAACACATTCATTTCTTTGAGAAATAGAAATCAACCTTGCTCCTATAACACAAGAATTAACACTAACTCTAAATATTCTTCTTTCGGTTTCGGTGATCCTGTTCAATTCACACCCAATTTTCATTTTCACCAATCTTCATCAACATAAAATACATTACATTATTATTAATACAAATTCAGGATTTCTCTTTGTAGGTCCTAAACGTGGTTGTTGAGTGGGACCCATATCTAGATGGATTGAACCAACACACCAAACCCAACCAACCAATATTTTCATACGTTGTTTGTTCTTTCTATTCTATATAACACAAACCCACATTGAGAATCCACCACCACTCCAATCTCATCAAACAACAATGGGTTCAACAACAACAACAAGCGAAACACAAATAACACCAACCCATGTCTCAGACGAAGAAGCAAACCTCTTCGCCATGCAACTAGCAAGCGCTTCTGTTCTTCCAATGATCCTAAAAACCGCTCTCGAACTTGATCTCTTAGAAATCATTGCTAAATCTGGTCCTGGATCTCATCTTTCACCGCTTGATATTGCTTCTCACCTTCCCACAAACAACCCTGATGCACCTGTTATGTTGGACCGTATCTTGCGTTTGTTGGCTTGTTACAATATTCTTACTTGTAGTTTAAGGACTCTAGAAGATGGAAAGGTTCAGAGACTCTACGGTTTGGCTACTGTTGCTAAGTACTTGGTTAAGAATGAAGATGGTGTTTCTATTTCTGCTCTTAATCTCATGAATCAGGATAAAGTACTCATGGAAAGCTGGTATTTTTACTATTTCTTATATACTCTGTTTTTTTTTTTTGCGATTAAGAACTCCATATCAAAATAATTGATTTTAAAAATAAGCTTTTTATGAAAACACGATCATGGATTTGTGGTGGATTAATTTGTTAATATCTATGAAGATCTATCATAGTGTGAGAGGTTGCAAGAGTTGGAAACCTTAAATATTGGATAGAATATATATTACTTTGAGATGTTACCTTTGAGACGCAATGATCATTAATAAGACACAATTAGGTAATAACTAAATTAAATAATGAAATTATTTTCATTTGGATGGAAAGTTTACAACCAAAATATATCAGATATCTCAATAATTAAATATAAGAAGTAACATCATATACTATAATATAAAAAGTAATATCATACAAAGCAAAATGTTAAATATTGATTGTTGGCCTAAAAATTAATTAAGGTTTTTGAAAAGCGTTTTACTCGTGTAAATTAGTAATTGGCAGAGGAGTATTGTCCACCAACTAAGATTTGGATTTAATACCGAGGACTATAGTCAACAAAATAAAGATGGCAGAAAGGGACCACCAATTTGAATAATCACCAACTCACCCCACCATTTCTATATTTCACCTAACACCAATGGAGTGTGAATCAATCTTTTTCTAAAGATTCCAATAGCAATTAGACAATTTCTAGTTGTACAACAATACATACACACTTATTTGACATACACTTTATTCAGTTGAACAAATGATTAGTTTAATTTATAGTAATTAAAATTATGATTAATTCAACTATATAAAATGCATTTTTTTTTCCCTAATCATTAGTCCTTACTCTTTGTAGGTACCACCTTAAAGATGCGGTTCTTGATGGGGGCATTCCATTCAACAAAGCATATGGAATGACAGCCTTTGAATACCATGGAACAGATCCAAGGTTTAACAAAGTTTTCAACAAGGGAATGTCTGATCACTCTACCATCACAATGAAGAAAATTCTTGAAACCTACACAGGTTTTCAAGGCCTTAAATCTCTTGTGGATGTAGGTGGTGGTACCGGAGCTGTAATCAACACCATTGTCTCAAAGTATCCCACTATTAAAGGGATTAACTTTGATTTGCCTCATGTCATCGAAGACGCTCCTTCTTATCCAGGAGTGGAGCATGTTGGTGGAGACATGTTCGTCAGTGTTCCAAAGGCTGACGCTATTTTTATGAAGGTATATTTTATAAATTTTAACATTTTTTTTGTTGTCTGACGCATGTCAGTGTACGACACTCTAACATTGAGTCACTACCATATTATTATGCTCAATGTTTTGAAACATATGGTAATGATTGATGATAATTTTTTTTATATGTATGTAGTGGATTTGTCATGATTGGAGTGATGAACATTGTTTGAAATTTTTAAAGAACTGCTATGAAGCACTTCCGGAAAATGGAAAAGTGATTGTGGCAGAGTGCATTCTTCCAGTGGCACCAGACACAAGCTTGGCAACAAAAGGTGTGGTTCACATTGATGTGATCATGTTGGCTCATAATCCAGGAGGGAAAGAAAGGACACAGAAAGAGTTTGAGGATCTTGCCAAAGGTGCTGGATTTCAAGGTTTCAAAGTCCATTGTAGTGCTTTCAACACATACATCATGGAATTTCTTAAGGTTTAAGGTTTTTTTGGCATGTTGCATATGAGTTTTGAGATTGCGATTGTTGTGGTTGTGTTTCTATTTACCAAAGCTTTCAAAAAAAAAAAAAAAAAACCATTTGTGTTCCTATACTGGAGAAAAATTATAATGAGAAACTTCATTGTAATATTAGCTATATAAAACAACATTGACTCATTATAGTTTTATGTATAATGAGCTTAAATAAAATTGACTCGTTAATCAACTTTTTCTTTTTTAATAAATGATATCTAAAAAGACTTGGAGTTTAAATATACAAAAAGCATCTAAATATGGATTACTTTAAATTTTAATCTTTACAAAACGTTTTTCTCTCAATTTAAGTTTTATGGACATAATTGGAGGATTCTTCTGGTCATTCTCAAGTTGAACCTGATACTCTCGGGCCATGATTACACATTTGTTTGTTATAAATTATTGGATTTTTAAATAGTTTTAACAAATTCTGGATTTTTCATGTAATTAACAAATATTTTGCTAATTTTCTCGTTTGGATGGAGAATTATTAGATATTTTGAAAAATCACTGGATATTTTGCAAAAGAATGCAGAAACATCGAACATTTATAAATTGCAGGTAAAAATTTAAGGCTTTATGAAAAATTAATACCAAAATACGAAAATAACTTATCAGATATTTTAAAAAAAATTCCGAAAATATATTAAACCTACTAGGTTTTTTGAAAAATCTGGTATGGACAAAAAAATCTAGGGATTTAAAAAAGTCATGTAGGCAGTAATTAATTTTTTTTTGAAAAACTATTTTTTTTTTTACTTTTTAACAAAGTATAACGGATAAAACATATACATGTTGAGATATTAGATATAATATCAAATCCAAGGTAGAAAGTCCAAACCCAATTATGGTTATATATAAATAATCATAGTTTGTATCATTATTTGTACAATACAATTCATTTAATAATAGAATTTTTATTTCCTTTATTCTCTCTTTCTCCCACGCATTAACAAATTGGTATATAGAGTTCCGGTTAGATTCTTGATTGTGTTTTCAAAGATCACACGTCAGATATCGTATTTTTGGGATTGTGGGTTGTTCACTAGTAATCGCTCTGAAGATGAATGGTAATAATAACATTCTGAATTCTCTTCCAACTCTTGACAGCAAGAATTAGATTTGATGGAGAAAACAGATGCAATCTTTGTTTGCCTTTCATGAAACCCTAAAAGTGGTTACTAGTGGCATTTCTACGCTGGCTGCAGATGCAACTGACGCACATAAAATAGCCCACGACGAATCCAAGAAGAAGGATTGCAATGTTGCGTATTGCATTCAGACGAAGGTTGATGCGATAAACTTTGACAGGATCTCTCATGTTGAATCGACGAATGAGACATGGGATATTCTTGTCAAGTACTATGAAGGAGGTGAGAAAGTCAAGGTTGTCAAGTTGTAGACCTTGCATTGACTATATGAATTACTATCGATGAGAGAAGATGAAAAGATTGCAGAGTATGTGTCGAAGGTGCAAAAATGTGTCCATCTCATGAAGGGTTATGGTGAAACCCTAACTGATAAGATGATAGTTGAGAAGGTAATGCGTACGTTGACCTCTGACTTTGATCATATTATTGTAGCTATTCAAGAATCCAATCAACTTGAAACCCTAAAACTGGAAGATTTGGTTGGTTTGTTGGAAGCGCATGGGATTAGGATTGTCGAAAGAAAAAGAGTTCAAGACTCGATACAAGCTTTATGGGCTCAGTCATGGAAAAGGAGTGGTGGTTCCAACAAATTAAAAGGAAAATTCGATAAAGCTTAGGGCAAGAAGTCTTGGTCGAACCCTCATAAGCATCAGGTCAATGATAGGGCTTCTGAATCCTCAAAAAAGGAGGAGGAAACTATCAAAAGAACAAAGAAGATAAGAAAGGTGTTCAGTGATACAATTGTGAAAAGTGGGATCACTTTGCCCAGATTTATTGGTACATGAAAGATAATGGATCGACAAGCAAGGACGAAAGATCGAACCTTGCACGCTAAGATTCAGATGATTTTGAAGGTATGAGGGTTATGGTTGCAGTTGCAGATAACCATTTCGAATCCAAGATCTGGTACCTCGACTCAGACAGCTCGAATCACATGATTGGTCAAAAGGTATGGTTGGCAGATTTCAACGAGTCCAAAAAGAGCAAGGTAAAACTTGTTGATATAGTTCGTTGCAAGCAGAAGGTACCAGCGACATAGTTTTTCAAATGAGTAATGAATGGAAAGCTATGATCAAATATCTTCTCTATGTACCTGGAATGAAGTGCAACATGTTAAGTGTTGGACAACTAGTCAAGAAAGGCTTCTCAGTTGTCATGAAATACGGAGCTTTAAAATGCTTCGACACCCAGAATAATTTGGTCTTAAAATCTCTGTTATCGAAGAATCGGATGCTTAAGACTATGATCAGTTCGACTGAAGTACATTGCCTAAAAACGGTTGTCAACCACAAGGATAGTTGGTTGTGGCATTTTAGATTTGTAAATTTGAACTTTTGATCACTCAATCAATTGATTACTCAAGATATGGTTACTGGTATTCCAAGTCTTGAGATGCCTGACAAACTTTGAAGGTTGTTTAGTCAGAAAGCAATCCAGAAATCCTTTCGTTTTAACTATGCTAATGAGATCATCCTACATACTCGAAGTGGTACATTCAGATGTATGTGGCTCATTCGAAGAAGATCCATTGGTGGAAACATATTTTTTTTAGTTTGTCAATGAGTTTAGTCAAAATCTATGGATCTATGTGATCAAACGAAAGGACGAAGTATTTGAAATCTTAAAGAGGTTCAAGATGCTTGTCGAAAAACAGAGTGAGAAGAAGATCAAAGTTTAGCGAACAAATGGAGGTGGTGAATACACATCCAAGATGTTTGAATATTTTTGTGCAAAATATGGTGTCGATCATGAGGTAACTTCTCCTTATACGCGTCAACATAATGGAATTTCATAAAGAAGAAACAAGACCGTATTGGATATGACGAGATGCATGTTGAAGTAGAAGTTGTTCCCAAAATCCTTATGGGGAGAAGTTGTTTCGACTGCAGTTTATATCCTAAACAGGCGCCCTACCAAGAAATTGAAGAACAAGGTTCCTAAAGAAGTGTGGAGTGGCAAACGAACATCAGTGAGTCATCTGAAGGTGTTTGGCTCTATGTGTGACAAGCATGTTCCTGATGCGAGAAGAAGGAAACTTGATAACAATAGTGAACCTATGATTCTGGTAGGATATCATAAAACTGGTGCATACAGGCTATTCAATACAATTAATGAGAAGGTTGTGTTGAGTTGAGATATTGTGATAGGTGAAAAATTTTCGTGGGATTGAAATTCTAATGATGTAATTAACAAGCCTTTGATGAGCTATGGTTTTAACGAAGAAATTAATGTAGTCGAAGTCAAAGCAATTTCTAATATTCCAATCAAAGTCAAAGCAGTTGCTGACATTCTCGACACAGACGAAGTCAAAGAGGGTGTGGCTTGTACAAGTCAAAGACCTCAAATAACTAGAGTTAGTCCAACTAGACTTTAAGACTATGAAGTAATTGGGTATGATGAAGTAACACCATATGGAGAATTAGTTCATTTTTCTTTACTTGCATGTGCTGAACCAATCAACTATAACAAAGCTTTAAAGATTATGTAGTGGAAGTTAGATATGGTTGAAGAGTTATCGACAATCAAAAGAAATAATGCATGAGAGTTAGTCGAATTACCAACACACACAAAAGCTATCAAAGTAAATTGGGTGTTCAAGTTGAAACACAATTCTGATGGGTCGATAGCAAGATATAAAGCAAGATTAGTAGCTCGATATTTTCTTCAAAGAGCAAGACTCGACTACTCTAAAGTATTTTCTCCAGTAGCAAGATTGGAGATTGTTAGACTAGTAGAAGCATTGACATACAACCAAGGTTTTTCGACATTTTATTTAGATGTGAAATCAACATTTATGAATGATCCTTTAGACGAAGAGGTCAATGTCACACAACCTCCAGAGTTTATGATTGAGAAGGAAGCGAGTAAAGTATATAAGTTACACAAAGCGTCATATGGCCTCCAGCGGGCACCTAAGGCATGGAACAAGATGATTGACTCATACTTAGTTGAATTGGGATTTGTAAAATGAAAATATAAGTATGGTGTCTATGTTCAGGTTGTAGCATGAGATATAAAAATCATCTGATTATATGTCGATGACTTGCTGGTAACTAGAAATAACTTGGAGAACTTGTCAAAGTTCAAAGAAATGATGATGAGAGAATTTTAAATGTCGGATCTAGGAAAATTGTTCTATTTCCTAGGCATGGAATTTCAAATGTTGAAGCAATGTATGGTGCTACATCAAAGGAAGTATGCCAAAGAGATACTCAAGAGATTCAGAATGTATGATTTAAATTTTGTATCCTCACCTGTCAAACCAAATGTGAAGTTGGATAAGAATGCAGAGGAAGACAAAGTCGGTGTAACTTTGTTCAAGCAAATTGTGGGATCTCTGAGGTATGTGTGCAACAATCAACCTGATATAGGTTTCACAATCGGATTAGTGAGTAGATACATGAGTGAACCAATGGTGTCACACATGAAGGCTGCAAGAAGAATCCTAAGATACTTAAAAGGATTGATAAATTGTGGAGTACTATTTCGACAAGACTATGAAAGCAAAGAATCTATAGTTAATTGTTTTCTAGATGTTGATTGGTGTGGGGATAAGGAAGATCTAAGAAGTACAACTGGAAATTTCTTTCAGGTATTTGGTGCTCTGATGTCATGGTGCTCGAAAAAGCAACCCGTGGTGGTGTTGTACCCCAAAATTTACCCTCCCATATTTCTCAATACATTTCAAGTGAGGTCCTCAAATTGCTCAAGGAAGTCCAAGGGTTGACCAGACAAACCCCCTCCTAAGGCAGTCTACCTCAAATTAGGGTTTCAGTTTGCATCAAGGTACCTGAGTCCATAGGATCCCAAATTATC